CAGGGTTCACCACGTGGAGGTAAGTCTATCGCACACCCCAAGAATGGGACTAATAAAGTCATATGAAAATGACTTGATGTAACACATAATTAACAAATAATTCGGGAAGGGATAATTTTAGCGCTCCTTTTAGTAATAAAACAATGATTGCAGGTCACCAAAAATTCACTTCTATAATACTTTCTCAGAATGAATTTTTTTATCTCCGGTGAAAGTAGTCCTTATCCAGTATCACCCTTTAGGTCTAGGACAGAATTTCCGTTTGATGTATAAATGATGAAATCATGAATTAAAAAGTAGCTAATACGATACTCATGAGAAGTTGGATCACGTAACTATGACGAGAGAATTGCACAGCTTAGTTGGGATAATTAGAATGATGGGGTTCATGTTGTAAGTCGTTTAAAGCGAAATGAAAGATGGGATCAATATTATCAACGTGATATAGAATACTACTAAGTAATGAGAATATAGCTGTAGATATTGCATAAATGATCTACAACGCGGTCCATTTTTAAGAATTGGCATGGATATGTCTTATTCTGCCAGTTTGTGGTGAGTGAGTATTAAATAAAGCTGAAATGTGCATAGTTACTTTAAGTTATTGTCTTACTTTAATCGGATGATGAATACCATTGCAAGTTTTTAGCAAACACAAAAGTGACTGATTAAACTCCTCACGAAAAGTGTATGATGTTATTCAACCTCTACCTTACACTCACGAATAGTAATTTGCGAATTTCAGTTAACATGGCAATCATTATACAAATTCAGTAGTAACGTGTTCGTAAACTTAAAAGTTGGTTTTCCCACTGAAATCATGCCAAACTTGCCCTAAGAACCTCTGCTTCTAAATGTTGTTTCAATTCGTGTGAATCGAGGTTTAGTTAAAACAAAACATTTTATAGGGACTATTGGGAGTCATAAAATTTTTCGCAAGTGATTTATACGTGAGGCAGTTAAGTCAAGGCAACATAAATTCGCCTCTATTTGTACTCAATTACCCTCGCCCTAAGGTTTCCTTTTATAATTTTAGGCCAAGTCTCCAACTTTATCAGAGGGACACGGTCATCGTCGGCAATTGCCTTCAATTCCTGGCATTATGCAACACCGATCAGTGAGAATGGAGCAGAGGCCTTCTACGCATTCACTAGACACTGCAAGGTCAAGGTCGAACGACCGTAAACATCGACCAAGGTCGGATTCTCCTGGAGCATGGACCATTGCACATACACCTACGGTCTTCAAGAGAGAGGTATTAAATAGAGGTTTAGAAGGAAACGATTATCTAATACAGGTGTTTTTATCCTGATTTTCTTCTCTTTAGCTCGATCTTCGACTTGATGGAAGTGACAACAGTCAATATGAAGAAAATGTTGAAGATGATGTTCTTTTCGCTTCTCAGGTCAACGATCGTGATCGCAATCCTTCGAGTCAACCTATAACACCTCGTCACAGCATCTATGAAGGTTATGATCCGCAATCTAGACATCAAAGACAAAGTCAGCACCTTCGAGACAGCTTTGCCGAACGACGGGTAAGTTTCTACGCAAATGGGACTCTTTCAACCTCCGAATTCTGACTTATTCTATGCATTCTTAGAGATGGGATGCGTCTTATGAGCATCAATTTAAGCAGATGTCAAGTTGTGGTCCACCACCACCAATTCAAAATAGGGGTTACCAGCCTCAGACTGGATGGGACCACAGAATGTCACCTACAGTAGTGCCCTTATTACCTCCACAACTACCCCCACCACCTCCCCAGCCTCATCTTTACACCTCCGAGTATAGCTCAATGCACCGAAACTTTCAACACCAGCCTGAGTGGCAAAATTGGCAACAGGCGGCGAATCCTGGACGGCCCTATATTCAACCTCCTCCACTGCAACCTCCACGAACGTGGCATCAGCAGAGTAATGGACTTGGTCCAACTTCTTGGAAATTAGTCCCTCCCCATAATAGAAAGCAAGTATTAACCTCATTTCCCTTCAGGATGAGTATGGATTGACAAGAATTATTCTTGTATTTTAGTCTTCCCAACTCAATAGATAGGAAATCCTCATCGACCAAAGCTTGGTGGAATCCTCACAACTTTTACGCGCGTAATCGCCAAGAATTAGCTCAATTGTGGTCATCAGAACGGAGAGGAAACATTGTAGATTCTGCCACAGGAATGAGAGTGAATTTAAGAAACCCCTCCTCTAGAAAATCTTACGATCATACCGTTTAAGATGTACCGATTCGGATTGCCACATAATACGCCCATCTACTTTTCATTAAAGCCCAGGTGGCTACACACCAAGTCCACTTTTGACCAATCAGAGACGTTGGCCGGCCAATGTTTCATGCAAATACCAAATTATTCCTTGAGATGAAACTATGTTTTGCGTGTTGTAATCTAAACCAGAATCCTATATTTGTTGAAAATATGAAGTATTTGTGAAGAAGATTCTAGTTTTTATCTTATTTATAGAATGGAGTTTTGCTGATGCTTATCTGTTTGATTGTAATTACATTTATTTATACAAAATAGAAGGCTTTATGATGGTCATCATTAGCCTTTTAATCGACTTCGGCTTCACAAAGGGGTAAAACATTCAAGTCACAAAAATTCGAGGGGAGGAACAAAAGAGTGATTGGTAGATGTAAGAGGGACAGACACAAAGGTATGGGAAAAGGTAAGGTCAGTACTGTGAAAGTGGTCGAATATGACATACAGTGGGGTCATGGTAGCTTGAAATGAGAAGTCTACTGCCAGTTAATAGACCATTTTGCCTTATGAGTATACGTTGCGCAGGGTGAATCACGTGAAGGTAAGTCTATCGCACACCCCTGATTGAAATTATATAGTTGACATCAACTTGTCATTACTAAACACATCGGTTTATACTGGTTTATATGCTTTAGCCATAAAGGTTCATAAAAGAATAGTAGAAGGAGGGAAGATGTTCGCAAAGCAAGGTAATGCATCTGAACGTAAATAGCGTGAGAGGGAACCAGAAGTTCCATTTGAGCATTTTCTTTCGATCCATTTCACTTCTACTCAGATTAGAGTATTCGCATTACTATCATTGTTAGAAGGCAGGTGAACATTCATTAATTTCACGTCTTGACAAGTAGTTGGGTAAACAAAGGCTAAACTTCCATTGATCTGGCTGTGAGTTGACTTCCATTACCAATCTTCTGCAGATTTCTCGTTGTAAACGGTCACTTTTTAGACCAGTAAATTACTTTGAAGGTACAGCGGTGCTTGCCATTTATCGGCTTCACGTGCTTAAACTGTTTGAACAATATTTGTAACACACACCAACATTTGAAGTGATTCGTCTGATCGCTAGATCTGAAACAATGAATAAAACATAACCTCTTCATTATGATCTATAACCAACGAAACATATCAGTCCATTTTTCCCATATTAACAAAATACCTTCTGGAGCATATTTTCATGGTCATACTTAAGTTCATTTAAATGCATCTTAAGAACAGTAACAAGATCTAATTTTCCGGTCTTTCAGGATGAAAGGTAATTCTTTACGCTCTAGAGGATATAGAGTCCCTTGCCTACATTGACGAATTCATTCATGTGTGAATTAACGCAAGTAAGTAACACTTTTAATTAACGATTTGCTAAGTAGATTTGCCTGTTAAGTGGAATAGCAACTTGCGCTCTCTTTAGGTAATTAATGGAGTGTGAATTCGCATTTTTGTTGTGAAAGCAAATTTAAATGGCATTTGAGTTGTGTACGTTGAGAAGAAAAGAACGAGCAAAGTCATTTTTAAGAATAATCCCTTTTTGTTAAAGGAGTAAAGCACAGACAATAATTAAGCGATTGAACTGAATGAATAATCTGAAGAATTTGGTAGGTTCTAATTCGTGTTGAACGCTCTGTCAAATATTTGTTTATTTATTTCAAATGGCAGGCTTTATGATATTCATCATTAGCCCTTAATCTTTGACTTCAGCTTCCCCCTAGAAGGATAAAAAAATTTATTTCAAATGGCAGGCTTTATGATATTTACTAGCCCTTAAACTTTGACTTCAGCTTCCCTCAAGGGTGGGTACATTTATAGACTTAATCTTTGACTTCAGCTTCCCCAAGAGGGGGGGGGGGTACATTTATAGCGGTTATTAACACAGCCCATGGGTGGGGGGTACATATATAGCAGTTAATTAATAGCAGACATTAGCAGTCTTCTTGCTTCCCAGTATCTTTGGCTTTCCTGTAGCTGTCTTCTTGCTTCCCAGTATCTCTGGCTTTCCGTACTTGTCTTTAGACTTTAGAAATTTCCTCCTGTAGGTTACATAGAGGGCATGTGGGTTGATCGCTAGACACCGAATCAGGTGGGTCTTCTCCATTTCCTCCTTTGAACACCGAATCAGGTGGGTCTTCTCCATTTTCTCCTGTAGAGAATCAGATGGGTCTTCTCCATTTCCTCCTGTAGGTTTCACATCAGGTGGGTCTTCTCCATTTCCTCCTGTAGGTTACAGATCAGATGGGTCTTCTCCATTTCCTCATGTAGGTTACATATGGTGGGTCTTCTCCGTTTCCTCCTGTAGGTCACATAGACAGGTGGGACTTCTCCATTTCCTCCTGTAGGTTACATAGAGTATGTGGGTTGAGTGTATACTCTCAATCTGTGAAGGTGTTTTGATGGTTGAGTGTATACTCCCAAACTGTGAAGGTGTTTTGCCAAGCAATCGTGTCCGGTACGTAGTCTAAACTCAGCAAAGGCTTCGATTCATGGCCAGTCGGCTATATCGGAGAGTGCCACAGTCCAATGTTTCTCCTTTCTTCGAGCTTTAAGTTCGTTGCACCTTGAGGTCTGGAATTCTCTCTTGATTAAGGCCTTCATTTTGTGGAAAGACATCGGCCGGTCCATGCATTGCAAAATCGTTATCCTCTTCTTAGCAAGTGTGTCAACTACATCAATGTCTGCTAATGGGTCAAATATTGAAAAGTGTAAACAATCATTATTCTGTCCCTCCTCTCGACTTTTGTTCCTCCTCCTCTCTGTGAAGCCCAAAGTCAGCTAAAGGGTCCTCCTCTCTGTGAAGCCCAAAGTCAGCTAAAGGGCTAATAATAACTATCATAAAGCCTGCCATTTGAAATAAATAATTAATAAACAATGATTAAATAATGAAAAATCATTTACCTCCCTATTAACCTGGAATGGCATTGCCTCTATACCTAGTCCATAAGAGTTGTGATCTGTTCAGAACGGTGTCAAACTTTCTCAGTCGAGTGCATCCAAGCATATAAGCAAAGCATTCTTCAGTCATCTTCATGTTGTGTTCATTGATAGTGCGTATGAACATCCATGCGTATAAGGAAGGTGTGATCTGATTTCCTATCCTTGATCAGCTGCATTAACTTCATAATCAAGCCTTAAATTCAACCTTCTCTTCAGGATATAAACGATTTCACCGTACTCTGTCTGCCACTGGTTGAAAGCAACCTAATTTTGGCTGACTTCCCGATTTCTTAATGTATCTGGTCAATCCATCATAGTTTTCCTATTAACACCGTATACTGCAGATCTTAACCTCTTCGGCCTATAGTACACAACCACCCAATTCGTCACACTTACCAGACCTATGGTTAATACAATAGCTTGCAATAATTTTGAATTTTTATGTTATTTTATTCCAGATTAGGATAGTGAGATTTAATTGTCCTTAATTAGAGTGATTTGAATGCATTTATTTATTTATATCAATTGGCAGGCTTTATGATAGTTATCATTAGTCCTTTAGTTGACTTCAGGCTTCAGAAAAGGAGAGGAACATCAAAGCGAAACAAGTCGAGAGGGGGGGGGGAATAGAAGAGTGTTTTGAAGATGTTAAAGAGACAGACACAAGGGTAGATGAAAGGTGAGGTGTGTTATGGAGTCAGGTCATGGTAGTTTGAAGTCAGAAGTCAACTCCCAGTTAATAGACTTACTTGCCGTATGAGTATGAGTCAACTCCCAGTTAATAGACTTACTTGCCGTATGAGTATGTGTTGCCCAGGGTGCACCACGTGGAGGTAAGTCTATCGCACTCCACGTGATTCGAATATAAATGTTCTTCCATGACCTCTTATTTATTTGAATTTTCGGTTTCACGGCCTACACCAAGACCCACACCTCTAGCTCCCTCCCCCCCCCCTCTCCGCCAGTTAGGAGACCTGGAATTCATTTTATGCGGATCACATTTTGGGCCAATTAAATGCTACAGTGTCACACTTCTGGTCTACTGTCGCTCGTTACATTCGCAGAGGAGATGTCAGTCCTAATTAATATTTGATAATGGCATTACTTTCAAGCCTTGCAACAGTTCAAATTATATAAATACATTGTTGGAAATGACTGAAAAATGAAAAAAATCGAACTAATTGCCAATTGGTTTATCATTAAGTGGAGTCTAGGTATTTTTTAATTATCTTAGTTTATTGACCAATCGAGATAGTAACTTTAAATCAAGAGTAAACCTACTCACTTTACACTACATCGTGAACTTAAAAGAACTATTAACTCATGTAAAAAGACATCTAACAGTCTCTAAGCAACCGGAAACATTCTCAGGCGAGTAGAGCTGAATTTAGCATCTTTGTGTGACGGCAATAAAGCATACTTTAAACGCGCAGAGAGTTTAGAGCTACAGTCATTGAAATCAAGAGGAGTCGGCTTTGCAATTGCTTCCAAAGTAAGAACAAACGAAGACAGAAGCAATTAATAATTAACAAAATTTTAGATCGATATATGTTAAGTACAGCTTTTAAAATTACTCGAGAAACCATAGTAGGTAGAGCTTAGATTCGCATGCTTATAATGAAGTGTGGTAAGAAACCATTCAAACTTGGAGACTTCAAGTAGAAAAATGAAAACAAAGAAACGTGGGCTTTTATTCTTGGAAGTGCAATACTAACAAATTTATTTATATCAAATGGCAGGCGTCTTGATGGTTAT